GACTGGCATCTCCCTGATGATTAGTGAAGTAGAGCATTTTTTTTCATGTGCCTTTGGCCATTTGTATTTATTTCCTGAGTAAGATTCTGTTCATTTCTTCTCCCCATTTTTTTTGGTGGGGTTGGAGGTTTTTTTCTTGTACAACTCTACTAGTGTACAAGGTGTGTTTTGGGGCTACTTCCCACTGTATACTCATGAATATCACTGCTTGGCAGTGTTTGGAGCATCATGAGGTTCTAAGGATTAAATCCAGGATCCACACATGCCTGATATGTCTCTGGCCCTTTACCTATATTGTTAAAAATTATATTAGTTTTATGCCTTTAACTTATGTTTTAATTAATTCTTCCATTTTCTTTTCTTAAGTGTACTGTGTTAAATGGTAGGAGAATTTTAATTTTCCCATATTACTCCAAACAAAACACATTTTTCACTAAAAGTAATAAAAAGGCAACCAGTATGCTGTTTTTTGCTCATAAAAATATATTCTCATCTGTTGATTTTTGACACCTAATGTCTCCACCTTACCCTACTTCCACGGGAACCATGGTCTTCTTCCTGGTTTGGGGGAGTTGGTAATTAAAACTTATTTTAGTCAATAAAGTTCCCTCTCTATGATCCAGTGATAAACCATTTAAATTATTAATTAATAACAAGAAGGAAAAGTTAATGTTGGTGTTTGCATTTTAATAGCACAATTAATATCATTGTTTTGGGAATACTTGAAAACTACTGGAAATATCTAGCACATAAGAGGATTTCATCATTCTTTTACTCTAAGTCATATTTACTCTCCTCTTTCCTGTGAAAGAAATTACTTTAGTATTAACTTGGTAGCATTACTGTCATAGAATGCAAAAGAAGGCATAGAAGGCATTACTGTCATAAGCAAAGGAGAAAAAAAGGAAAGTATGTTTAACATATTGTATGATTAAAATTTGGTTGCTTTTTGTTTCGTCTTTTTGTTTTTTGGGCCACACCCGGCATTGTTCAGGGGTTACTCCTGACTCTAAACAACCGCCCCTCTTGTTCTGGGGGTATCATATAAGATGCTAATGATTGAATCCAAATCAGTGGCCTACAAGGCAAGCACTCTACCCACTGTACTAGCTCTCTGGCCATTCGTTGCATTTTTGTACCATGGGAGCCATCTACTGGTGTTTGAGATTGGGGAAAAATGCTGCTTTCTTTTTCTTTTATACATTGTACTCTCCCCGCTTTTTACTATTCAATTGAACAGCAGAAAAAAAAATTTCCATCGGGTCGAAGAAGAAAGAAATAATTCCAAGATTAATTAAATATTTATTGACTACTATATTCCAATAACAAGAAAATGTCATTACCACAGAGGTTAAAACTTTCAAGTCTTACATTCTCGGGTACAAAACTTAGAGATTGAGTGAAAGACCCATTAAAAAATCGAGTTTTATATCTATTGGACTCCACGCAAAAAATTGTTTTAAAATCTCCATTCTATTTTAAAATAGCAATATAGTTGCTGAAGAGCTAGTACAGCAAATAGGGTACTTGCCTTGTATGCAACCAACCTAGGTTTGCTCCCTGGCATCTCAGATGGTTCCCATATTCCCAACAGGAGTGATTCCTGAGCTCAGAGCCAGGAGGAAGCTCTAGTTACTGTCAGATGTGGCCCAAAAGCAACAATAAAAAAGTTACATGAATATATACTATGGTGGGACCAACACCATATTTAGAATCCTGTTGGCCAAGAATTTTTTTGGGGGGATGTAACTCACATGCTTCTAATGTCTGCAACATGGGGGCAAACAAAAGAAAATGAAAAAGCTTCCCTTTTCAGAGAACTGTCCTCTGAGTTTTATTACTCAAAAATTTTGAATTTTAAGGAATAGCTGACTCCCGATGTTAAATATTTTGTCTGAAACCTGGCGTCATTTCTCTTCTGATGAAAATTCTGAGTGATTTTCTGAGAATCTGATTAAATGGTTGCTAAGCAAGTGAACTATGACTCATAATTGAGAAACAATTTTGAGGTATTTTTCCTCTTATTTTTAAAGGAATCAAATTACACATCTCCCCAATGTTTATCTTGTTCTGCTGGCTATTTCATGGAACATTTCTTGTGTGTGACATATCAAGTAATTTACTTAATGAGTAATAGTTACATTAACTTAGAAGGAGGGCAGAATAGAAGATTATAAAAACCACATAATGACTCAGATAATCTTAGGTAAATTACTTAATGACAAAAGTAGCATAAAGATTTGTTCTTGGCGTCCAACACAAGTATCTAAGTCTACTCTTCAACTTCATATTGCCAGTCAGTAAAGCACAGCAATGAGCGTAAAATCTTCAAATGTTTCTTTTTCAGAGACCTTTTTTTTTGTTTTTTGAGTCACACCTGGCGATGCTCAGGGGTCACTCCTGGCTCTGCACTCAGGAATCGTTCCTGGAGGTGCTCAGGGAATCAAATGGGATGCTGAGAATTGAACCTGGGTCGGCTGCGTGCAAGGCAAACGCCCTACCCGCTACAGCCCCTCAGGACCTTTTTTGAGATGAACTAATTATACCTTTCAAATGTTAACAATAAAGAAAACTCATAATTGTGAGGTTAATACTAAACATTTCTGTGATCCAAACTTAGGGACTTTAGGCCCTCACACGACTGGTTGATTCTTTATTTTTAATTTTTTTTTAATGAATCACCATGAGGTACAGTTACAGACTTACAAACTTTCGTGGTTATGTTTCAGTCATACAATGATCGAGTATCCATCCCTTCACCAGTGCCTATTCTCCACCACCAATGATCCCAGTATCCCTCCCACCACCCCTTGCTCCAGGACAATACTGCTGGAGCATGAGTCTCAAAATTAAAAGCCATATCTTAGCATGGCCTCGGGATATTAAGAAGAAAAGACACAATATAAATATAGAAAATATATAGGTTTATTCCAGAAAAGGGTGGAATTAAGTCCAAGCAGGGAAATGTTGCATTATCTTGATCTCAAGAGATCTATAAGGTTTCATTAATTAGGTGTCTGATGTGGGAAATATCCATTTGGGTAGAGAAAAGACATGTATAACATGACTTTATACATATTTATATACACATATTCAGTAACATTGCATCATGAAATAACGTAATCTTCACAGGAATCTGTAAGGTGATATAATATCAAAGTAAAATCAGATGGGGAGGTGGTGGAGAATAAAAGGAATGAGATTAATTCACGTGGGGAAAGACTGAAAGGTATATCCTTTGATTTATAACAAATATTGAGGAGTTATATATGGCAATGATATGGTAATGGGTTATAGGGATTGACATCAGAGGCAAGACCAGTAGAGCAGATGTTATGGTTCTAACAAGAGGATGAGAGTTTGAAGTAGGGCAAAGAAAGAGATTAGAAAGGAGTGATACCCAAGAGAAGCTTTTACATAGAGGCCAGGAAACAATCCACCAATAGGCAAATGCGTGGGATATGCCACATCATTGACAGTGAATAAACAATAAAACCCGGGTAAATATTAGAAAAAAATCTAGTGAAAGAAACAAGCACCCAAATGCCACTTAGAGTGCATATAAATACATATGAATTATATATAAATATATACATATATGTGTATATGTATATATAAATACATAAATACATATATATGAAATGGAACTATAGTTAATAATGCAAAGAGGTGTGTGTGAGATACTACAGGGGTTAAGGCACTTGCCTAGCACGCAGCAGACCCCGGATAGATCCTCAGCTCTCACCCATGGTCCCTGGAGCACAGAGCCACTAGTAAGCACTCACAACTGCAGGTATGGCCTCCAAACAAAAGAATAAAGTGTCATGGAGATGGTACAGGGGTGTCCCTGTTGGACCATAGCCTTCAGGATGCAGGTTGTAACTCTAGAGGCCCCTAGCACCTCCAGGTATGGCTCTTGGATCCCGAACACCAGCGATGTGTTTTGGATACTTTCACACTGAACCTTCAGGATCCCTAAGCAAATGCTTGAGAAACTCCCAGCCCCACAAAGTCAAGGAAATAACAAATATACATCAAGATACTGGTGTCTGTGTAAGGAAAATTGGGGAAAATTTCAAGTATTATAAATAAAGGCCCTCCCGTTGATCGTCGATTTGCTCGAGCGGGCCCAGTAACGTCTCCATTGGAGACTTTGTTGTTACTGTGTCTGGCATATCAGATACTCTCGGTAGCTTGCCGGGCTCTTCGAGAGGGGCGGAGGAATCGAACTCGGGTCGGCCATGTTGGCCGCCTGTAAGGCGAACGCCCTACCCGCTGTACTATCGCTCCAGCCCTGGGTTGGGTACAAGAGCTACACGATTTTATTGCAACTTAATGGGCTAACCCGTAGATAGCAATAGCTAAGGCACTCATGAGGAAACTATTACGATCAGGTTTTTTTCAAAAAAAAATTGGCCACAACTTGCAGTGCTCAGGGATCACTCCTGGAGGGGCTCAGGTGATCGTATAATATAGGGTGTGGAGACTGCAACCTGGGTCGATGCAAGGCAAGCACCCTATCCACTATACTATTGGTCTGGACCTGGACTCTGCTTTTGTTCTCTGTACTGGGATTATATAAAATGGTGCGGTGTGTTTGTGTGTGTGTATGTGTGTGTGTGTGTGTGTGCATTTTAGAGATTTTTTTGGAGGAGGTAGTATATCAGTTCCATTCATGATAGTTCTTTGTTTTGTTTTTTTGGGTCAAACCGGATTTTTTTGGGCTCTGCACTCCTGCACCCTGGAAGTTTTTAGGCTCTGCACTCTGCACTCCTGGCTCTGCACTCAAGGATCATTCCTGGCGGTGCTTGGGAGAGGCTTGCGAAACCATACGAGGTGCCCTGGATGGAATCCTGGTAGCCACCTTCAAAGCAAGAATCCTACCCACTTTGCTGTCTCTCCAGCCACCTCCTCCAGGTATTTTTTTAGAAGGAGGTCTCACAGAGCCCCAGGTGCTTTTCTATCCCGCGCCAAGAGCCTTAACCCCTGTACTTGTCTAGGCCAGTCTCGAACTCGTTGCCCTTCACTCTTGGCCAGTGCCGCACCCCCGCTGCTGGGAGGCGCCTGGTGGCAAGGACGGGGACTGTGGAAAGGGGCCCCCTGCAGCTCCAAACCATCCTCCCCGGTAGAGAGAAGGTGCGAGAAGAAGGCTCAAGCGGAATCAGGACTGGAGGGGCGCGGGGACGGGGCTGCTAGAGGGGCGGAGCCGAAGGCGCTTGAAGGGCAGAGGCGAAGGCCAAGTATAATAGTTCGCGAAGGCGGCGGCGCTGGGCACTGTCGCCCGGCCGGTGGCCGATCTTCCCCTCAGGAAGCTGCCGTCCCGGCCCCTTTTTCCTCCCCCTCCTCTTTCTCCTCCCCCTCCTCTTCTTCCTACACCGCCTGCGCAGCGGCGGCGGCGGTGATCGCGCCCGCCTCCCCCGCCACGTCCATCCCTGCCTGCTCGCCCGCCCGTGACTGTGGCGTCGGCGGCGGCGGCGGTGGCGGCTCCACTATGGCGGCGGCGGGGAGGGGGGAGAGTAGTTTTAAAGTAGACACCCGCCCTTGCCTCAGAGAAGGTGAGTTCCCGTCCCGGGGTGCGGGGGCGGCCCCATCTCCTTAGCTGCCTCGCTCTAAGCGGGTCCGAGACGGGCTAGGCGCGCTACGCCACCCGCCCACTCCCCCTACTGTGGCGCAGGAAAGGCCGAGCTCGCCCCGCCCCGCCCAGCCCCGCCCCGCCCCTCTTTATTGGCCCCGAGAGCGTGACCGGGACGGCCGCATAGTTGGGCTTCCCGACTCCTGTTCCCACCGAAAAGGAAGGGGAACCCTAGGAATACGAACTTCAGGTACTCACACGGCAAAGAGTTTGAAAGGAAAGAGCCATCACATAATCTTCCCGTCCGGATGCCACTAGTGCGCTCTACAAGAGGAAGGTGTGGTTTGGTAGAAGAGGTGAAGCCAGGTAGACGGGCCGTTTGAGCTAGACGCTCAGGGCAAGTGGAAGAGGGAAGTAATGGTTAAGAAGAGATGAACTAGGAATCCCCCCCCCACCCCCGCAAACAGGGAGGAAAACTCTGGTGAAAGTCAGCGTCCTGCAGGGTAGAAACTTGTCTTGGGATATTTGAGGAGAGATGACTAGGAATTTGGGGAGGTCACAGTGCTTATGTGAACTTTAGAGTAGGATCTGTGGGATGCCAGGATCATAGTGTCTGGTGAATGGGACTGTACAGTTGAGATATCGTGGCAGAAGCATATGTTTCAGGAAGCACTTGAGGAATTTTTCTTTGCGTGAAATTCCTTTTGAGGCAAGGTTTAGGGGCCCATTTTAAAGTTGGTTTTAGATTTTATTAAGTGTTGGCCTACCAAAACATAGGACGTCTAACATAATGATATATTTGATTATTTTAGTACTATAAGTGGTAGTTAATTCACACAAAATTATTTATACTTTCAGACAGCCTACTAATAGAAAACTATACATTTTGCCATTAAATGTATTTTAAAGCAGTTTTCAGATGCTTAATGTTGTTGAGACAGATTCCACTGTGGAAGATCTCAGTAAAGCATTTGTCATCATGAATTTTGAAATTTCTGGGTTTTCTGTGTTATACTTTTGTTGCTTATGTGTTTCTAAAGTAAAGATTATAAACCCCCAAGATAGCATGGGCTTTTTTCAGTTCCTTTCCTTAGGAGGATGCCCATTAAAATTACCCCATAAAGGGATTCATTCAAACAGTTTTGAGGGGGTGGTCCTAAGCACTGCTTTGAGATCCCAGGAACAACAAACACTCCCTGCCATATTCGGCCATTGTGGCTGGAACCAGCTCAGGGAGGGGGACTGGGAGTGCACATAAAGAAGACACCAGGCAGTACTACTCCAGCTCTGTTGAAGGAGGGGCTAGGAAGAGCTGGGGTGGGAAGAGTGGTGACAGGGATGGAACCAGTCCTTATGTTTGTGCTCCAGCCCCTATGCTGTCCCCCCATCTGTATTCAAACATTCTTAAATGCTAGATCTCAAATCTTGCACACCTTTCTCTTCAAAAAATGGCAAGCCAGTGTAAAACAAAAAAAATCTTACATATTTGAATAGGTATATTATCGAATGCCATTTTCCCAATGAATAATTTAAATATGTTGTAATATATATTAAAATTGTTAACTCTTACTAAAGGCAAACATTGGAAAACTTTAGTATCTTCATAAACCTGGATTTGTACAGTTGTTCTGGGGTGAAAATAAAGAAATCTCTTGTATTTTTGGTTTTAGATTTAATAGCAAATTTTCTGTCTTCAACAAGAGGGAGAAAACATTTTTAGTTAGTTAAAATCCCAATTCTGTTAGACTCTCATTACCTTTTGACTCTAGGTTTATACATAATATTGGAAAATGGCTTTTTGCCTGATTTTTTGACTAGTTTAGTTGAAGTATATTTCTGCATACACAATAATTAATGGTTTCAAGATTATACATCAATAAAGTTGCAGCATTAACCTATCTTTATTATTGCTAGCAGTAAAATGAGGAGAACCCCAGCATAGGAGTTTGATGTAGTTAACCTAGGTTCTGTTGCTAGAACCCAGATAATCTTCTAGAGTTTGTGTCTGTTTGTTACTTGATTATTTGGGTGGGGGGTTTGGTTTGGTTTGATTTGGGTTTGATTTGGGAGCTACACCCCACAGAGTCAGGCATTACTCCTAACTCTCGAATCAGGGATAGTGCCTCAGGTGTTCAGGGGACCATATGTGATTTGGGGATCAAACCAGGGTCACCCACCAGCAAGGCAAGTGCCTAAACCCCTGCATTAAACCCCTGTATCTTTTAAATTTTGACACTGAACAGATCTAAGCTTCCTGGATTTGGGTTCTGAAATAGAGTTATTGAACTAGCCAAAATCTGAAGATATTTTCACATCTAGAATATGAACCATGATTTTGTAATAATGCATTGAGACTTTTGAGGTTATTTCCATGGCTGTGTAGAAAGCCATAAGAAACAGTACCTCCATCCATGGAGCAATCTTCCTGGCCCGTGTATCTACTATCGTTGGGTGTCAGCCTCATGTTATGTTGTTTTATACTCCACAAATGAGTGCAGTCCTTCTATATCTGTCCCCCTCTTTCTGACTCATTTCACTTAGCATGAATACTCTCCATGTCTATCCATTAATAAGTAAATTTCATGACTTTATCTCTCCTAACAGATGCATAGTATTCCACTGTGTAGATATAAGGGGAGAAGGCAGCTGGAATAGAGAAGGAATCACTAAGAAAATGATGTCTGGAGGAAACAGTCGGGATGGGAGATGTGTGCTGAAAGTAGATAATAGACCAAGCATTATAAACTCTCACTATTTCAAACCATAATGCCCAAAAGTAGATAGAGAATATGGGTAATATTGTCTGCCATGGAGGCAGGGGGAGGGTGGCAAAAGGGGGGTATACCGGGGATATTGGTGGTGGGGAATGTGCACTGGTGGAGGGATGGGTGTTTGATCATTGTGTGATTGTAATCCAAACATGAAAGCTTGTAACTATCTGACAGTGATTCAATAACATTAAAAAAAAGAAATAGTACCTTGTAAGTCATAAGAAACATTGTCAATAGTCAAAACCAGACAGTAGTTGAGTAATGAAACATTGACCAATAGTTATAACCAGTTAGTAATTGAGTAATAAACTTAGCGTTAGCTTTGAGATAATTTCTTGAGGGTATGAAAACCAAAGATAATTTTACCTAAAAAGTTCTTTTAATCACTAATTGTTAACTCCAAGCAAAACCCTTTCACTTAAACAATAAATATTTCATACAGTAGAAAACACTCTAAGTTTTAATTTTGTATATTTATAAAAGTGACAAATGGTTCCAGATGCACAGTGTATAAGGAAAGAGAAAAATATGCTGCTTTCTGGATTTGTGTGCTATATTTTGCTTCTTTGCTTTTTAAGTCCTACTTTGAATTTACAGTTGCCATAAATGGTGGAAAACAATTGTCAAGATTCCAATTATTACAAGTCCACTCTTGATAGAACTATTAAAAGTGGCTTCATAAGCATTTGCTCATGATAGCTAACAATTCTGAGGATCTGTTAATAAGCAAATATCAGTGCAGATTAGAATCTCCCAAATAGGAAGATTAACAGTTGCCAAGTAGGGAAGATTAGAAGCCTCCTGAGATTATATATGGGAAATTGAGTAATCATTTTGAAAGCAAAACAACAAATGAAAGGAATGTCAGGTTAGTGATCCCTGAGCACAGAGCCAGGAGCAGTGAGCATCACCAAGTGTGGTTCAATCCCAGTCAGTCTCCCCCCAAAAGAGAAATATCCCATGAATATACATATGAGAAGACAGATATACACCCCAAATTCATGATTCAGAGAGTTTTGAAGTTTTGGGGGGCTACTTTAAGTTTTTTCAAAAATATTTGATGACTCAAAAATAAATTTTCACCCAGTATAATCATATGGTCCAGTATAAAAAGGCCCTCCCGTTGATCGTCGATTTGCTCGAGCGGGCCCAGTAACGTCTCCATTGGAGACTTTGTTGTTACTGTGTCTGGCATATCGAATACTCTCGGTAGCTTGCCGGGCTCTCCGAGAGGGGCGGAGGAATTGAACTCGGGTCGGCCATGTTGGCCGCTTGTAAGGCGAACGCCCTACCCGCTGCGCTATCGCTCCAGCAGTATAATCATAGGAAAAATCAAAACAAAAATAACGTCCATGTTAATTTACCTCTTCCTTTTGTGAAAAATAAATTATTAGGTGGATTACATTTTCGACTAAAGGATAATCTTGATTTTTATGTAGTTGATAAGTCTTTTGTTTTTATATTTTGGGCCAGGTCTGGTGTTGCCTAAGGCTTACTCTTGACTCTGTGCTCAGGGATCACTCCTGGTGAAGCCTCAGGGGACCATATGTGGTGAGGATTGAACCCATGTCTGTGTCATGAAAGACAAGCACCCAACCCTCTGTGCTATTCCTCTGGTCCATAGTTGATAGTCTTTTCACATAACAATGACCTAACAAGGCTTTCTTTGTTAGAGAAATCATTCTGCAATGTTTCAGATCCACCCTAAGAAGACCTAGTTAACAGTCTTTCCTTAAGAATCCCTAATTGAGTGGCCTGCAGTGAGAGGACAGAGGGTAGGGTGCTTGTCTTGTGCAAGGTCAACCTGGTTTGTCTACCTGGATTTGATACGTGGCATCCCATATGATCCCTCAAAACCTCCAGGATTGATCCCTGAGCACACAGTCAGGACTAAATCCTGTGCTCCACTGGTTGTGGCTCAAACAAACAAACAAACAAACAATAATTAACTGAACACTTATTAGTGTGTCAAGCACTATGCTTAGTGTTCAGTATATACAAAGGAAACTAAACTATATTAAATAATTCAGTTATAATGTATAATAAAAATTAGGAAATGAATAATTAGGAAAGTACAGTTTTAAATATGTCTAATCAGACTCCTGCATCATCAGGACTGTTACATTGTTCATTATGTACTCTATCTGTGGTGTCATATATACAGCAAACACATTATATTCTTTTTTTTTGCTTTTTGAGTCACACCTGGCGA